AAAAAAAAAAGATATCAGTTCATCAGAACACACCATAAAGTGAAAAACCCAGCTATATAAATAAATAGAAGGTAACTCAATACATACATAACAGGCAAAAGACTGATATTCAGAATAAATAAAAGCAAATTTCCTACAAATCCATTTGAAAAGACAAAATAACAATAAAAAACAAAGACAGAACAAGCATTTCATAGGAAAAAAAAGCACAAACGGCCATGAACAAGAAAAGATGCTCAACCTCCATAATAATCTGGGATACTGAAATTAAAAACAATTAGATGCCATTTATACCCACCCACCAGATTGTAAAACTTCAAGGGTGACAGTATCAGGAACATTCGTACCACTGGTGGGCATATAACATGGTACAATCACTTTGGAAACATTTTGTCATTTAGCAAAGCTAAAGAAACACACACCCTATTGCCCAGTAACTCACTTCCTACACTCAACCCTAGAAAAATTATATGACACTAATGGTCATACACACGAGTTTTCAGAGCTGCCTTATTTATAACAACAAAAAACTAAAATTCACAATCACAAATGTTGACAGGAATATGGATAGGATGTCTTAAGATGCAACCTTGTTAATTTAAAAAGTTTAAGAATACAGACAGCATGATTCCATGTCTGTAAAGTTCTAAAAACATCCAAAACTAAAGGATATATAATTTAAGAATAAATAAGAGGGGCGCCTGGGTGGCTCAATCGGTTGAGCATCCGACTTCGGCTCAGGTCATGATCTCACGGTTTGTGAGTTCGAGCCCCGCGTTGGGCTCTGTGCTGACAGCTCAGAGCCTGGAGCCTGCTTTGGATTCTGTGTTTCCCTCTCTCTCTGACCCTCCCCCGTTCATGCTCTGTCTCAAAAATGAACATTAAAAATAAATAAATAAATAAATAAAAGAATAAATAAGAAAATGATCAATACTGAATTCATGATACTGGTTGCTTCGGAGAAGGAAGGGGGTGTGGCTAAGCAGGAACTGCCACCAGAAGCTTCAGAATAAAATGTCCACTTCTTATTTGAATGGACACTTAAATGTGTTTGCTTAATCATTCTTTAAAACCTATACATTATCACGTGTGCACATACATTTTTGAAAAATTAATATTTCATAATCAAAATTTAATTCTTTTCTGGAATGAGGTATGAAATATATACATTTAAAAATAAAAACAGGGGCACCTGGGAGGCTCAGTCGGTCAAGCATTTGACTTTGGTCATGATCCCACCATTCCTGAGTTCGAGCCCCCGCATCAGGCTCTGTGCTGACAGCTCAGAGCCTGGAGTCTGCGTCAGATTCTGTGTCCCTCTCTCTACCCCTCCCCTGTTCGTGCTCTCTCTCTCAAAAATAAACATAAAAAAATAAAAATACAAATAAATAAAAAATTTTTAAAAAAAGGGGCGCCTAGGTGGCTCAGTCAGTTAAGCATCAAACTTTGGCTTGGGTCGTGATCTCATGGCTCATGAGTTCGAGCCCTATACTGGGCTCTCTGCTGTCAAGGCAGAGCCCACTTTAGATCCTCTGTCTCCCTCTCTGTCTGACCCTCCCCAACTTGTTTTCACTCTCTCTAAAATAAATGTTAAAAAAATAAAAATAAAAACAGGTGCCTGGGTGGCTTAGTCAAGTGTCCGATTCTTGATTTTGGCTCAGGTCATGATCTCATGGTTGTGGGATCAAGCTCCGTGTCAGGTTCTGTGCTATCATCATAACATAAGAGAATCCCTGCTTGGAATTCTCTCTTTCCCTTTCTGCCCCTCCCTCACTCACCCACACTCTCTCTCAAGATAAATAAATTTTAAAAAGTAAAAATAAAAACAATTATCCTGTGGCAATGAAAGTGCCACACAAAACCCAGGAAAATGCATTACCCAAAAATCAGGAATCTGAGCAGGGAACAATGTCTCATGTAAGTGTGACTTCCTTATTTCACTTAGAATGCCTCCCTTCCACTGCTTTTATTCCTACTTCTCACGCTAGTAATCTTAATATCTGCAGCCATCTTGTCCTTTCCCAAGTTAGGCTACAGAGTCTGGGCAGTGAGAGGTACCCCACTGCTGGAACCTACATGGTTCCAGAATTACGAGTAGTAGAAACAGCACTGCAGACAATGGAAGTTCACACACAAGTCTATCTAAATGTATTCGGCTCTTAAGGATAGAGAGTGAGAGTGAGAATGCAGTGGGTGGGATCAGGAGCACACTTGCTCCTTCCTGAGTGAGCTAAGCTGCTCCAGTGGGTACAGCCATCCCAGTTATGTTTAGCCTGGAAAAGGAAAGGTATGACCTTCCTTCCTCTGAAGATACATGGATCACACCATTCAAAAAAAGACTCACTGTGGTGTGAAAGGGCAGGAGTGGCAACCAGTGATTCTCACCAGTGGCAGTTTTGTTCTCTAGGGGTTATTTGGCAATATCTGCTGATCTTTTTGATTTCACGGACCGGGGGTGCTAATTTCAGTGTGCCAGATTATTATGAAGGTTGAGTATCTTTTCATGTTAATGGTCATTTGAGCTTTCTTTTCTGTGAAATGCTTGTTTGGTATTTTGCCCATTTTTTTAAAGTTTATTATTTTTTGGGGGGAGGGGGAGGGACACAGAGAGAGAGGCAGGGGGGAGACAGAGAATCCCAAGCAGGCTCTGCACTGATAGGCTCAGTGGGGCTGAATGTGGGGCTCAGGTTCAAGCTCAAGAACTGTGAGATCCTGACCTAAGCCAAAACCAAGAGTTGGACACTTAACCAACTGAGCCACCTAGGCGCCCCTTGCACATTTTTTATTGTTATTTTGTCTTTTCAAGTGTATTCTGCCAAACCTCCTACAACTCACAGAACAGTGTCCCCATGACAAAGAGTTATCTATCCCAAAATGGCAGGCGTGCTGAGGATAAGAAACCCTAAGCTAGAAAGAAGCACATGCCTATGAAGGTGGGACACAGGGACTCGTCCCAGAGGGTGCAGGAGGAGGAGAAACCCCTCCTCCTGAGAACTTCCAGGATACCTCAAGACTTGAAGATCAGAGCCAAGAGCTCTGGTTCTGATGGTAAGCTGGCCTATCTTTTCTGAAGGTAATATTCAAAAGTATGTTGCATTCCTCACTTGATATATCCAAAAGAAACAAATGGAGATGTTGGCAAGTGTTATCTAGAAGGGCACTGATTACAAATTTAAAAAGGCATAAAAAAACTGAACTAACTTCACTGTCTACAACAGGAGTTAGGAAAAAGCATGGAACATCTATGTGATAAAATACTAAGCCAGCAATAAAACTGAGGTAGAAAAAAATATAATGCAAACATGGAAAAATATTCACCATATACAGAGAGGAAAAAAGGATATACAATATGATCCAGTGTTTTAAATACATAATATGCACATTGCAAGGATATACTCCAAAACATAATCACCACTGGGTGGGTGGGCAGAGAAAGAAGCTATGGGCAATGCCATGTCTCTTCCTCCAAACACCTTACCTGTCCAGTATCTCTGCAACTTGCCAGTGGAAATTAACTAATATAAGTTTAGCAACTGAATGAGATACCTAAAAAGAAGAAAGAAAAAAAAAATCAAATTACAACTGTAGTTTCTTTCACAGAGCTCCACATTTTGAGAAGTGCATACACATTCATGTCTACAGCAGGCCCAGGCTTGACTTCCAAATTCTTCCTCTTGGTTCTCTGCTTCATCTTTTAAGTTCAAACTCTTATGATCTTAGTGATTTCCCAGATCTCTTTAACTTTTCTTTGTTTTCATTAATGACCCTTCCAAGAAATCAATCTGAATTGAATCTTAAGCAAAACCTCCCTGTCTACAGTTAACAATCCAGTGTTCAATTTAAGCAAAAAAGCTGTGTTCTCTAAAGTGGTCTATGTTCCCTCAAGCTGCTGTAGGAGGCCACACATGGGAAGTGCACCTCTAGTTAGGCCCATTACTTGCAGAAAATCTCTAGGCTTGGACTTCTTGTATAATTCCAGCAAAACAACACACACCTGTATAAAATCTCCAAATTCCTGCCAACCAATGAGCCCTGATTGCAGGAAGATTTAAAAGCCTTGGGGCACCTGGGTGGCTCAGTCAGTTAAGTGTCTGGCTCTTGATTTCAGCTCAGGTCATGATCTCACTGTTCATGAGATTGAGCCCCACATCAAGCTCTGTGCTTACAAGTGCAGATTCTGCTTGGGATTCTCTCTCTCTACCTCTCTCTGCTCCTCCTGCATGTGAGCACGCGCTCTCTCTCTCTCTCTCTTTCTCTCTCTCAAAATAATAAACTGGGGGGAAAAAAGTCTATGGGCAGTCTTTGTGGCCCCTACCTTTTAAAGCACACTTGTTATTTCCCAAAAATAAACAAACATTGAAAAAATAATAATTTAAAAAAAAGGGTGCCTAGGTGGCTCATTGGTTAAGCGTCTGCCTTCGACTTAGGTCATGATCTCGCAGTTCATGAGTTTGAGCCCCACATCGGGCTCTGTGCTGACAGCTCAGAGCCTGGAGCCTTGTTTGGATTCTGTATCTCTCTCTCTGCCCCTCCCCTGCTCAGACTCTGTCTCTCCTTCAAAATAAACAAAAAAATTAAAAAAAAAAAAAGGTTTTTAAAGCACACTGGTTATGGCTGTCAAAGAGTCTCAGAAGGTTCTTTGAGCTAGCTAGCAATTCTACTTCTGTAAATTTTTCTGAAGAGATCATAGAGGACAGGTGTACCACAGTGTTTTACAAGAGTAAAAAATTAAAAATAACCTAAATGTCTAATAAAAAGGAACTAGGTAAATAATATATGACATATCCATGCAATGAACTATGCAGTCATTGAAAAGGATGTTACAGAAATAAGTTTGACATAGGAAGATGTTCATATTTTAATATTAGGCTAAATAAGCCAGTAGTAAGATAGCATGTACATGTTATAGCCACAATATCCTGTTAATAGGGGAAGCAGACTAGTTACAAAAAGGAACAGCCTGAGGTTGTCAAGAGTAGGGTAGGGCCACAGAAGATGGGGTTGTGTTTGGAGGTCTAGATGAGGCTTCCCAGAGAGAGCACTGCAGAGCAGGAGGGTGCCACTAAATCAAGGAGAAACGAGAAGCACACTTGAGGCCAGGGAGCTAAGAGAACACACAGAACCTTAGTACTCTGTTCACTGGACTGAGTCTTTAAACTGGAGCTACCAAGGAACCGTAAGGTAGTACATGCTTGGTCCACAGATAAGAACTGCAGAGAGGGGAGACACAGTGACCAACTTGCAACCCCTGCTCCTAGAGCTCAAGTTACTCCTAAAAGGAGACAGATGCAACTTACTAAGCGAGGGCATATCCCAGTGCATAATCAGTATCAAAGGTTGTGCACTGAGTGAATGCCTTTCTGTCTTGCAGCCCAGGAACATCTGGAGAAAACCCAGGTCTCAAGACAGCAGACTTCACTAAGGATGGGGGTCCCCACTTCTCTTCCATGCATGGGAAGAGGCATCAGACTCAGGCATGTTGCTGTAGTATTTTCTTGTTGAGGACCATGGAGACTTTAGGTCTAGGATTCCTGAATTATAACTGACATTTCTCCTCACTGTAGCCATAACAAAACTATTTATCCACAGCAAACCACTATCACAAAATGAAAACAGAGACAAAACATACAGTTTAAACTTAAATAATGGTTTTGAATGTAGCTCCTGGCTACAAACTTTCTTAAAAACCTGACTGTGATACTGTTTTTGATGACCTCCTCACAGCCTTTTCTATCATCTCTTACCTAATGGAGCCCAGTCAGACCTACACCATCGTCTGTCCTGACTTCTAAATGTCTTGCCATGCTGTGGTATGAAACCATCTGGGAAACCCAGAGAAGTCCCGGCCATGTCTAACAGCCACCTCCCGTTTCTCACCATTGATGGCTTAGATGAAGCCTTTAAGCTGAGACAGGGGTCAGGCTGCCTCTCATCCACAGAATCCTGAACTTTTACTGGACACAGGGGGACCACTCAATGACACCAATTATTAAATGATATCATGTCTGTAATCTGTGGATTTTCAAGATGGAATCCTTCAACCTTCCTTAAGAAACAGAATGTTAACACTCTACCTCGTCTGATCCCTTGATTTGAATAGCACTAACAGCAACAACAAAAAACCTCAGAATTAGCACACCAGGTACAGCCCACCTATGGAAAATCTGGCCCTCTGCTGAAACAGAAATTTTATTAATGACTGCAAATCCACTAATGACCAACTCAGAATATCCCAGCAGATTTGAGTTTTGGTGAGAACAGATTATGTGAAGAGAAGATACATCTAGCACTTTATGGAACTGACAGTGGAGTGATAGGAATCTATTCTTTCAGTGCCAACAGCCAAGAATACATCAATATATACAAGATAGTAGGCACACACATGTCAGCTGTATGCACCCCCCACTAGCCTTCTGCAGGAAGTGCTACTGTGATCCCTAAGTCACAGATGGGGGTGTGAAAATGGCCCATATTGTGTCCACAGTGTATCATAGAAAATCAGGGATTCTTTCCCTCAATAATCCAATATAAACCTGAAGACACCCAGAGACAATTTAAGCAAAATGCAGTGTGACTGCACCTTGCCCTATAATGGACACCAGGGAATCTATAGGGAAGTCAGGTTCCAAAAGGCTCTCTGGCAAAAACAGCACAAGGGTAGAGGAAGAGGACCTAGAAGAATTTATGCTAAAAAAAGGAGTCTCAGCAGTGAGGCTACCTCATCCCTGATTTGGGGTCACAAGAGAGAACTGACTGCACACACACCCCAGCAGTATCTCAGAGGAAGCAACCATAGGTGATTTGGGGGCAGAAAAGGATGTGTGTTGGGGGCAGGGGCACTATTTAAGCCATTTTCCACAAAAGGGCCAGGACAAACTTTGGGGAGGATATTAAAACATTAAAGAGTACAAACAGCTAAACTCTCACAGGAAAGAACTCCCTGAGTTTTCATGCCATTACTGTCTAATGATCAAAGAGTTATTCAGAATCTATCAGAGTCAATACTTCACAACTGGGGAGTCTTCCATTCTTCTCTATTATTTTCAATCGTGGAGAACAGAATCTTCCAGCAGAATCAAGATGAACCCTTGCTACACTGTTTTGATCAAGAAATTAGAAACCTATTAGTACTATTGTCTGGACCCCTCCACTCCATAACCTTTAGGATTACCTTCCTGAAACCCTGACTGAAAAGTATTAAGACAGCTCTTACAGAGCTGTTACATCTTGCCAAGATCAGTTCCCACACTGCTTAAAACCCATCACTGCTTTCCAGTACTGACAAGACAAACCTGAAGCCTTTAGTGGAAGTCATCAGAACCATTGTGCCCTGGTGGAGTCCAGCAACAGACCAAGTGATTCTAGCATCCCCATGCACTTTGCTAACTGTTCTCTGCCAAGAATGCCCTTTTCTGTAGCAAATATTTGGAAATTAAAGAATATACTTCTGAGCAGAACTGGTGTGTCAAATAAGAAATCACAAGAGAGGGGCGCCTGGGTGGCTCAGTAGGTTGAGCATCGACTTCTGCTCAGGTCACGATCTCGTGATTGACGAGTTTGAGCCCCGCGTCGGGCTCTGTGCTGACAGCTCAGAGGCCGGAGCCAGCTTCGGATTCTGTGTCTCCCTCTCTCTCTGCCCCTCCCCTGCACATGCTCTGTCTCTCTCTGTCTCAAAAAGAAATACATATTAAAAAAAAAATTTTTTTTTTAAAGAAAGAAAAAAAATAAATCACAAGAGAAATTAGAAAATGTTTTGAGGGGTTTCTAAGTGGCCTGGGTTAAGGTCCAACTTGCCTGGTCACATCTTATTTGTAATAGTTTGCGGGTCATGCTAGGGCGCTTGACAGCCCCATCTTGAGCCCTGTTTGATTCCCAGGTTCCCTATCTCTGCCCCTCTCCCGCTTGTGTGTGCTCCCTCTCTCAAAAAAATAAACAAACACTAAAAAAAAAAAAAAAGAAAAGAAAGAAAGAAAGAAAGAAAGAAAGAAAGAAAGAAAGAAAGAAAGAAAATGAAAATGTCTTGAACTGAATAATGAAAATACCACAGAATTTGGGTGTGTTTATAGCCAACATGATGCCAGGGGAGAATTGCATAACTGTAAATGTTAGAAAAAAATCCTAAGTCCCCTGAGAAACTAGAAAGACATAAAACTAGCAAGGAAAAGAAAAAATAATAAAGAAAAAAAAAACAAGAAATAAATGAAATCCAAACCAAATAATATTGAAAATTAACAGGAGTGCCTGGGTGGTCTAGCTTAAGCATACAATGACCCTTGATTTCCAGCCTAGGTCATGATCCTCACAGTTTTGAGTTCATCCCCAAGTCTGTGCTGTTTCCTGCTGTGTGTGGAGGGCTGCTTGGGATTTCCTCTTCTCTCTCTCTGCCCCCCCCTTGCTCCTTTAACACTCTCTCAAAATAAATATTAAAAAACTTTAAAAAAAAAAAAAAAAAAAAGAAAATTAACAAACCCCATTAGTTGATTCTTCAAAAAAATCAACAAGGGGTGCCTGGGTGGCTCAATGAGTTAAACACCCAATTCTTGATT